TTTATTTTCCACACTTCTATTGTTTTTAATAAAAGTGACAGGCTCATGCAAAAAAATATGCTCATATAAGTATATATTTATCTAATAAACATAAATTTATGTAAATATATAAAATTTATTTATTTTCCACACTTCTATTTTGTTTTTAATAAAAGTGACATGCTCACTGCAAAAAAAAAAAAAAAAAAAAAAAATTCAAACGTTACAGAAATGCCTCCCCCACATGGCCAATCTTGGTCCTACTTCTCAGAGATGGTTCTTATTAAGAACTAGATCTAAGTTCATCGAGACTGAACAAAAAGGCATTATCAAAGCAGCAGCAGACCTAACACTGACTGAGTGCTCACGACCTATCAGGCAGTGAGCTAGGTGCTGTACGAATGTCACCCATTTAAACCTCATAGGGGCGCCTGGGTGGCGCAGTCGGTTGAGCGTCCGACTTCAGCCAGGTCACGATCTCGCGGTCCGTGAGTTCGAACCCCGCGTCGGGCTCTGGGCTGATGGCTCGGAGCCTGGAGCCTGTTTCCGGTTCTGTGTCTCCCTCTCTCTCTGCCCCTCCCCCGTTCGTGCTCTGTCTCTCTCTGTCCCAAAAATAAATAAATGTTGAAAAAAAATTAAAAAAAAAACAAAAAAACCTCATAACAAGCCTTCAAGGTAGGTATTTTTTATTAGAGCTGGGAAAGTTGTGTACACGCACATACATATACACGAATACCAATACTATAGTTTTGCGAAAATGGGACAATGTTATGCCTACTGTTCTGCAACTTGCTTCTTTCATTCTTACTATATTGTGAACATCTTTCCATGACTGCACATGCCGAACAGTTAACACCTGCAGAGTTTTGAATTACATGAAGTCATCCCAATGAAGCATTCCCTGAAGAAGTTTTGTATTATTACAGACAATGCTACAGTGAGCATTAAAAAATCATTTTTGTATATTTGTGTGAGTAGTTCTGTAGCACAAATTTCGGGGAAGTAGAAACAGGAGGTTGCATAAGGTTGTACATTATGTTGCACACCTTAAACTGATACAGTGCTATATGTCAATTACATTTTAATAAGGCTAGAAAAAAGGCAAAGTCTTAACTTCAATCCAGCTTTAAAAAAGAAACAGTAAGGGGCACCTGGGTGGCTCAATTGGTTAAGCGTCCGGCTTCCACTCAGGTCTCGATCTCACAGCTTGTGAGTTCGAGCCCCACGTTGGGTTCTGTGCTGACAGCTCAGAGCCTGGAGCCTGCTTTCAATGCTGGGTCTCCCTCTCTCTCTGCCCCTCCCCTGCTTGCTCTCTGTCTCTGTCTCCCTCTCAAAAATAATAAGAATTAAAACATTTTTTTAAAAAAAGGAACAGTAAACTAAAAATTTGTGTATGTTCTGTACAATCTGGAAAACAGAAAATGAACTGTATTTGAATGTTTCTTCTATCTGCACAAGGTCTTTTCAAACCTAAATCCAAATACAAAGTGAGGAGCAGGACATCTGTTTCTCAGAGCTGGTTTTAGATTCTTGGTCTGTCACTAAACAGCTATGAAACTGGGAACTACAAAGGAAGTATATTGTTACTATTATTATTTTTTAAAACATAGCATGTTATATGAGTTTCAGGTGTCCAACCTAGTGATTCAACAGTTCTATACATTATGCCATGCTTACCACATAAATGGAGTCACCATCTGACATCATGCAATGTTATTGCAATGTTATTGACTATATTCCCCATGCTGGATTTTTCATTCCCTGTTTTATAACTGGAGGGTTGTACCTCTTAATCTCCTTCACCTACTTTGCCTGTCCCCCCCATCACCTCCACTCTGCAGCCACCATTTTGTTCGCTGTATGTATGAGTCTGCTTCTGTTTTGTTTGTTTGTATTAAACGTTTGGGGCCTTGACGTCTTCCTGCACAAAAATGACAGCATAGTGAGATATATTTTCTGAAGCCTCCTTTTGCTCGAACGTTCCCGGATTCGATTAGTCCTTTCGCTGCCTTTGTCTTCCTACTTATGAAAAAAGATTTGACGTTTTTGGCCTTGTAGGATCAATTAGTTAATGCGCCAATCAGTTACGACCTTTCAAACGTAGAAGTGCTACGTTGTTGCCTTATTACTTGTAGAGAAAACAGACCTTTGCTGTATGCGACCTAAAACCGCTTCAACTTCTAGAATAGTTTCTGGGTCTTTAAGAAAACCAGATGATTATTGAAGCCAAGGGGCCACCCTGCCTCAGCATTTTGGACCATGGGTGGGTGTGATGAATAGGGGGAGGTGTTTGGGAAGGCTGATATGGTATCACGTCTCTCGGGAATCTTGCCTTCCTGGAATGAGCGTTTCCAACTGTATGTTCCCTAACAAAGAAGGGATTGTGCGGACCATGACCTCAGAGAACACACAGTGCATTTCAGATGAGGGACTTAATAATCTCTGTGGTGTGTGGGACGTCTGAGCTAACAAGGCCTTACATTTTCTCTGCGTTCCACAGTCATTATCCCCCTGGACCCTCTCAGCATCCCTGATGAATAGCCGGAGAGGTGATAGTTTTCCCCGCCGTTAAGGGGTAGGTACGGAAAATCGGAGAGGTGTGCTGATGTGCGTTATCTCACACGGGGGTGAGAGGGAGAGGCAGGGCCCCAGCAGAGTCTAGGGCCCACCCTTGCTCCTCAGCAGTGGGTCCTGGCATGTGACTCTCCAGTTCGTTGGTGTTGACCCTTTTTAATGGCTGGACTCCTCTTCAGGGTCTTCTCCAGTCTAGACTCACCCAGTCGACAAGGTACAACACCTTTGTATTTTAAGGGGCACGTACAGGCGACAGCATGGAATTTCTCTGAATTTGGGATCCGGCCGATGGTGAGTTTTATTTTCTAAAACACAAGTAAGAAGGAAATGAAGTGAGGAAAGATTTTCCTTCATTGTTTGCTCTTGGTCTGTCCTCATTAGCACCCTTGGAAACTGGTTTGGAAGAAAATCCTACAATGAACCATAACATCTGGGCCAGAGGAAGCCAGGGTGACCTGCATACTTAGGTGGAAGATGGATTTTTATTCCCTGGCAGCCACTGGCCTGAGCCTTTAGGGAAGATTCCAGAGAACACTGATGATCCCAGATGGGCCCAGTTGTACCAGGAAGTAAAAGCCTCTTGAAACTAGAGGATCCAGATGAAACCAGACAAAACCAGCCCCTGACAAGATCAGGGGGAAATTGAAGTTTGATGGGTTTGCCCTGTAATCTAGCATCTCCTTCTTCTTCTTCTTTTTTTACACACACCTCTTCTCCCCTCCTTTCAAACTCTCACATTGTCCCTACCCCGTCCCCAAGCCGACCTCCTTGTCTCTCAACTGTAGCCCAACAGGAGGGAAAGTAAATCTGATTGGTCCGAATGCTCTAGAACAAATGGCCTGCCCCTCCTGTGGTTCCACATCTCCCCTCTTCCAACATTCTCTTCCCTTCCGGGGACCAGCTATTTGAATTTTTTTGAAGAATTGGACATTCATTTTATTTATTTATTTATTTATTTTTTTTTTATTTAAAAAAAAATTTTTTTTCAACGTTTTATTTATTTTTGGGACAGAGAGAGACAGAGCATGAACGGGCGAGGGGCAGAGAGAGAGGGAGACACAGAATCGGAAACGGGCTCCAGGCTCCGAGCCGTCAGCCCAGAGCCCGACGCGGGGCTCGAACTCACGGACCGCGAGATCGTGACCTGGCTGAAGTCGGACGCTTAACCGACTGCGCCACCCAGGCGCCCCTGGACATTCATTTTAATATAAACAATAGTCAGGAATGGTGGGGTGGGAATAGAAGTTTTTGTCTTCCACATAACCATTTGGGTGAGCACCTCGTGTTTCTCCATAGCATCTGACTGTTCTCCAGTAGGAAGGCGCAGGCCGACTCAGCCCAGGAGAAATGCTATCGTCCCCTCCCACATACACGATTCCACTGTCCAGAAAGGCAGTCTTGATATACTGCAGCCAACGTTGCCCAGGTGAAACTCCTGGGTCCAGGTAAAAATCCTTTTTTGGCTTTGGAGCTGATGCCTGGACCTTGGAGGTCAGAGTATCTTTTGGTAACTTCTGGAAGGACTTGGAAGACTGTACAGGGCACGTGGCCTCAGGGTGGGTTTTTGGCAACGGAAATATATTAGAATTACCTGATCGTTGGACTGAGCCCCTGAAATCTACTTCTCTTCCACCACACAAACTCCTACCTGGTCTTCAAAACCCGAGCCAGACACTACCTTCTCTGAGACACCTTCCTAGACTTCCTCAGATAGATTTACTCCTTTCTTTCTGCTTCACTGGCCTTCTGTCCACATCCTAGGGCATACACCTTATTGTAACCAGCACACGACATGCCTGTTTGATCCATACTATGTGAGCTCCCCAAGCCTAGGCTGAGGCCATTTTTGTAGCTCTAGGACTTAGCTCAGTACTAAAGGAGATGTTCACAAATGGCGAGTGAGTGAATGAATGAGAATGAGTCCTTGTTCCATGACTACTTATGTATCTTTGGCAACTCACTCATCCTTGGCTGCTTTTCCCATAGAGGTAATGGGAATAGCATGGGGTAATTTTGTCAGGCAGGAGAGATAAGACCTATGTAATCAGAAACCCTCAGAGCTGAAAGAAATTTGAGAGATCACCTAGCACAGCAGTTTTCAGGAGTTTTAAAAAACTTAATTTTACTTATCACTAGGATTGTTTTAGAGCAGAGAGAGAGAGAAAGCGAGCGCAATTGGGAAGAGGGGCAGAGGAAGAGAGAGACAGAATCTCAAACAGGTTCCATGCCCAGTGCAGAGCCCAACATGGGGCTCGATCCCACGACCCTGGGATCATGACCTGAGCCAAAATCAAGAGGCGGGTGCCCAACCAACTGAGCCACCCAGGTACCTCAGTTTTTAGGATTTCAAGACAAGGAAATGTTTCTTCAAGGAGAGCTAACAGAGCCAACATCCAAAAAACATAAATGATAAACGTAGATTGCTCTCATTGAAGTCTTACATATTGTCCCCTTCTTTACCTCTTCCTCAAGTTCCTGTCGCTTAGGGACCCAAGAAGCACAGTTTGAAAACCAACTATCTTCCTGTAGAGAGAAAAAGCTGACGCCAAGAGAAGAACGTGATTTTCCCAAGGTCACGTAAGAAATAAACACAGGCCAGGGAGGGAATTTACCACAGGGAGACTATACGCACAGGCAGAACCACGGCTAGCCCTTTAAAAACATACATAGTTTGTACACGCTCGCATGTTTTGTTTACTTCTTACAATAACTCAGTGAGGAAGGTACAGCTAGGTCAGTTTCGGAGATGAGGGGACTGAAGTGTGTAAAGCTGAACCTGGCCAATGTTCCCCAGCCAATCGGAGAAGTAAAAGCACAGATAACTCTATGAGTACCTACTAGGTGCCAGTCACGTGTGTAAGCATGTTACACATATTATCACATTTAATTCTCCAACAACTTGTATCATCCTTACCCCCAATTTTGCAGAAGAGAGAGATGAGGCACAAATTGACTTAAGGTGATGCAACGCAAATCCTGAGCCAATGCGATTCCATTGTAAACCCTTTCTACCACATCATGCTGTGTATCTGAGGTCCTGGACCCCGATGCTCAGTCTCTTAATCTGGAGCCCTCTCCAAATATCACTTTATATGAAAGAATTTTGAAAGGGTTCTACAGTCACAGTCTGTTATTTGCATGTATTTACATGAACCGTTCAGGCTCCACCCAAGACCTTGATCTTATTCTTGGCCAGAGCTGGTCAGCAGGACTCACCTCCTTCTGGACAGACCGACTGAGAAACAAGGAAGCCTCCTCCAGGCCCTGGGGCATCAGGTCATTCACAGCCAAGATGTGATCTCCGTGAAAAAATAAACATCCCAGGTGCGGGGGGCCTTGCCACTGAGCCACACTGCAATGGAACACAGCGTTCAACACGAGTGTGAGATTGTGCTCGCAGGACACAGACTGGGGTTCCCTCATTACCATCACCAGCTTCTTCAGCTATGTTACACCCCGTCTGAAGTAGACAAACTGCATTTTCTGCTTGAATATTCTTTCGTCTGTCACCGCTGTTGGACCTGCCCTCCAACACCAACTCTAATCATACCACCTCTAATGGTCCTCCTACATTCCTCTTCCTTTAATTAATCCCCCCATCCCTGACTTCTATTGCACTAGGCGAGCACCCATTTATTGTATATTTAAGTACAGTGCATTTTATGTTTGCTTGTTTATGTGGCTGTTTTTTTTTTTCACCAGGCTATGAGACCCCAGAAGTAGAGTGCTACCTTCAAAAAAAAAATTTTTTTAGACCCATATAACTCCAAGTAAACAGAAGGAGTTTAATAAGTGCTTATTGAAAGTGAGCACATGATGATTACACAGTGACTATCTAGTGACTCTCTAGTGAGCCTCTTAGATGGTGGGAAATTTGGAAAAGTGGAAGAGTTGTTTACTGCCCTCTTATAGAACGAATAAGCCTTTTACGTTAAAGGACTTTCTCCCCTTGTGAAAATGTAATCTTCCTTCAGAATAAACTATGAAGTTTTTAAAAGAATTTAGAATCAAATTAAACGGTGCTGATTTTAGGAAGATTCTCTCTTTTGTGTCTATCCCAGACCAACAGGCGTCTCGAAGCCTCAGACCTTGGTGTGACCATTTGTTTTAGACCCTAGATTCTTGTTGACTTCACTAACTTCATTACTTCATCCGTTTATCAAACAGTCATCGCTCATTGATTGGGAATGATTTCCTTGGACCATACCTATTCCTTCCGGCTCTTCTTTACCTTCCAAAAATCAGAAATGGGTACTGGACTTTTGGGTACTCCACTACCAACCCACTTCCCAGCTGATCCTCTTACACAGCAATACCTTCATTTTTGCCTCAACCAAAGATCTTTTGTGAGAACAATTCAACAGTCCAAGCTGTCTGATCGGTTTTGCCACATACAGTTTCAGGATATAATCGTTGTCTGCCTATCTCCCAACCCCATTTATAATCAAGAACCCTCAAATCTCCAACCTACCATATCCGTCCTGCAGCTTCCATGAGACTAAGATAATTTATGACGTCAGAAGGAGAAAGGAACACATTCAGTTTCTCCACTTGGCTTTCATCAGGGATGTTACTACGAGATAAGATGTTTATAAAAGTCACCTCAGGCAGCTCTGAGCTGGACATTCCGAGTAGACTTTACTTCCTACCTCTAGGATGGTATTTCCCAGTTAAAAATTGTCCAAGACATTGGGAGAATATGAATTTAAGTTACTCATTAATGCCCTCCCGCACCCCTCTTGGGATGTGCTAATGGATGGCAGACAATGGGAAAAGAACAAAAAATGGACTAAACTGATTATATATCACACCAGTCTGCTTATTTCTCCACTGTAAATGATTCCATAGAAGAATATACTGGAAAGACTTAAAACTGAGAACAATTTCATCAAATGCCCTTGACATCACTTAAAACCTAAATCTTCCCCTCTTATTCTATAACCAAACCTCATGCAACTTGCCCATAATTTTAACCATAGACGTTGGGTGACATGCTACCCAGGTCAGCGTGATCCAGAGTTCCAGGGCCCGAAAGACTAGCCAAGGGATAATTTTTAGAAATATTTGGAAATGCTACCCACAGCCCAGGGGACTGCTTTGCTTCCAGCTCTGTTACTCACTGTCCTTGGCCACCACATCGGTAAGAAAGGGAAGCTAGTCGGATATTTGGTCAACTTGAAGATTTTTAGGAACCATTTAAACTTGAATTCTGAGTTAAAAAGGAAGGCTGCATTGCTCTAAGGGCGCATAGTTTTAGAAAATAGAACTTTACTTGATTAGTATGGATAATTGCACAACAGTAAGTGAGGCCAACCCCTTTTTGTCATTCATGGTCTGTGCTTCCATATTGGCAGGTGGAAGACAGGAGTCACTTTGTGAGCCTTGTTCTTGCAAGTGAAGCCCCCCGTTCTGGATCTCTGGAAGGGCCTGGGATCCCTCTTTGCTATCAGCAGACTTGTGGGATGTCTCTCTGAAAAAACTAGAAAATCAGAAGTTAATACAATACCCTTTGTCACCGTGTTTATTTACAACTTTCTTTGGTGGGTGAATCGGATTTCAGTAGCTAGGAGCCATGTGAAAACTAACAAGGTCTTCAAGTATGCCCAGCCCTCAGAATCACAGCCACAGTTAGAATCAAATCCAACAAACTTCCCTTCTGAAAATGGATATGGAGTCAAAATAACCCTTTCCATTGGAAGGGCTTGAAGGACAGAAGTGAGGATGAGACATCAATTCAGAATAGAAAATAAGTTCCCCAGGAGACAGAAAATGACCCGAGGGGGTCACTACATGGGTAGTGAAAGCATTTCGGTGAGTTGAGAAAGCATTCTCACTTCTTTTTTTGAGATTGCGGAATAATGTGTTGAATTTGGTCTCTGGTGATGTTTTTGAATGACTATATCAACAGTGGTTGTTCTATAAGAGTACATTAGCCGGAATCAATTTTAAGAACATGACAGTTTTACGTACCAGGATTTCATTGGCATGTAATGATGTTCATTTGTCTCCGAGAACTGTTCTGGACTATCAGGTTCAGCAGGTTGACCAGGATCATTGGAAGCAATAAGACTATCCAACTACAAACAAGAGGGATAAGTGTAAGGATGCAAGTCTACCAATAAACGGGTACCTTTTTATCCCTTACGTGATGGCTCTGGGCCCTCAACGGGTCAGTACATCCACCGCCGGATGAGCAATGGTGCTCATGCTAGGAGGCTGAACTGGGAAAGCTTCTGACTGACTCAAAGTCTGTTTTCTCCTCCTGGATTCCCCGTGTTTCCGATACGGTGTTTTATTGGACTAAATTGCTATTTATTTTTCCGTTTCGTCACTAGGCAACTTAATGATATGCACTCTTTCTCCCGACTGGTGCTGCTGTAGAGACGGGTCACCCGGCTGGGTCAAAGCTGGCCTCAGGCCACCGTGCTCACAGGCGAGCCAACTTGCGTCAAGGGGCTGCGGAAGTCCTAGAAAAGACATTGCCCTTGGGAGGCTCTCGGCTAGCCCCTCACTACTAAGGCATTTGGGGGACTGGTTGCTCAAAAACCCTCAGGGCTTTTAAGCGCCTGCCTGGCAGTTGAATCATTAACCCATATTTGGAAAAATTCTTTCCAGCCAAGCCGGTCTTCCCTGCTGCTCACCTACAAATGGTGCTCTTCCAGAGCCAGCTTTCAGGCCACTTGCGTCACCTGGAGCCCCCCCTTTCCTCTCTGGCCCGATGAAGCTGTGTTTGGGCCTTATGAGGTCCCGCAGCCCCCTCCGACCACCTCAGCCAACACCAATCTCCTCCTTCTCTGAACTGTCACTGCATAGTTTTGTACTTACTTTTGGCGGGGGGAGTATTTTTTTAATGGCCTTTTCTTTCTGTCTGGAAATCACCTCCCCGCTTCCCTTCCCTCATGCACTCCAGGCATTTATCAGCATCTCTCTTCAGCACAGAGCCCTTTCTGTCTTGTATCGAGGCCTCCTTCTTTTCAAGGGTCAGCACCGTGAGCACATCACCTGTGCCTGATTCACCACCGAGCCCAGCCTCCTGCCCCAGGAACAGCACGCAGCAGGGACCCGGCAAATATCCGTACAAGGAAGGAAGGATTAGTGGATGGAAGGGGTTACCTGTAAAAGAATACTTTGAGGACTAATATAATGACTCTCTTCTTCGGTCTCTTCAGTAGTCTCTGACAAGAAATCATGTGGCAGATGAGCTTGTCTGAGTCCTGGAGAATTGTTTTCCATTAAATGCTGAATAAAGAGAGGAAGACAATTAATTCTATTCTCTCTCTCTCTCTCTTTTTTTTTTTTTTTTTTTTGCAAGAGACAGAATTAAACCACATGCTTTCTGGGAAGCCATATTAGATGAATTAAGTTGAGAAGATCAGAACATTTCCCAAGGTTACATGCGGAAGTCCACACGACTTGAACTCGCCTCCTGAGTCTGGGTCACCTTGATGAGGTAAAAACACAAGCCCATAATTCAGGCTGTTCTCTACCATTGGGACCTGTAACTTAGAACAAGCAGTTCTCTCAGGGGCGGGCGGTGGGGGAGGGTATATTCTAAGGCACTAAGGACTGCCACTGAGTCCCCCCACTCCCATATACTAGTTTTCCCCCCGGGGCCACCTGAGAAGATAATCAGCCCACGGTCAGGGCACCACACCTTTCCTCTTCCTGCTCAATATTCCTCTTTTGTGTTCTGCTCACACACTTCTATTGTTTCCATAGCAATGCAATTTGCTAGTGTTGGTCATGTGATCATATGAATTACAGTCTACAAGGTAATGTAGGTTTAAGCAACCACCACCTTCCCTCCCCAGTGGATACAAGATCCTCCCTCTACTAAAGCAGCTGCTTTGCATGGCAGGAAAATTGTTACAAGTACAACTTAATTCTTCCAAGAACAATGCCTATGAGCAAGGGTTTTGAAAAGAACTTGAAAGTTTTCTAGGAAGTCCTTGAAGGGAAGTGATTTTAAAAACAAAATGTTTTCAATGGTGTCCATTTTTCTAGTGCCAAGATCATGAAGCCGGACCGTGCTGAGCTGGGGGTGAAGAACGGTTCCCACAACAACGACAATGACAACCATCATCACCACCACAAAACCCAACAAGGTAGATGGTACTCTTAACTGGAGCTGACTGAAAAATCTCCGAATTCGAATGCAAAGTGTGAAAAGGCAAGACGACCAGTAACGTTATCTTTCGAAAAGCAGGGGGTAAGAAAGCTTTTAACATAGTTGGAGAGCTCCCAACTAGATAAAACAGCAGGTTATGCTATATTAAGATGTGCTTGGCACCCAGGGAGAAGGGAAAGTCAATGGTTACATCTCTAACGGACGAAATGGTATCCACGGCAGGAGATAAAAAAAACAACCCAACCGCTCGGTCCGTTAATCCAAAGTTGGGAAGACCGAATCCAAGAGAGCTGAGAGCACAATCACAAATCACTTTCAAGAGCCAGATGTGTTGTTTTCCTCAAATGGGTTTCATTAGAAATGAAGTCACACACACACACACACACACACACACACACACACGCGTGCGCACACACACACACACACACTTAAGAGGAAGCAAGATCGATCTGGGTAAATGAAAAAGATGAATGAGAACCTTGGTTTTACCCCAGAAATAGAGACGGTATGGCAGGAGACCGAGTGGTGTGTTGGGAATCTTTTTTACAGAGGTAATCCGCACCCTTTGTGTGAAAGGAAGGAAAAGGTTGCCAGCCAGGCTTCTGTTTAGCTGGAGGGTTCTCTGCCCAACATACCCAGATGCATGGTGAGGCGCACCCAAAATGAATGAATACATTTCAAGGTAGGCAGGGCAAGCAGGAAGGCTCATTTGTGATATAAGAAACAGACTAAATATAGGATAAACACTAAGGCTAAGATCATGATGGTGGGTTAGGCTTAGAGGAAGCTGTCAAATACATGGGTAATACTTTGGAAGCATCAGCAGACTCCCAGGCAAGGCGTCGAGAGAGAGAGAGAGAGAGAGAGAGAGACAGACAGACAGACAGACAGATGGAAGTCTGATTACCATGTCTGGAAGACTATTTCTTGATGGGGTGGGGCTGACAGCCTCTGATGCGCTGGAAGGACCAAGGAGAGGACTGGGGTCTGAAGAAGGCCTTTTACCACCCAGGGGGAATTTCTCCTGCTTATGAAAGAGGAATATTGCAATCAGGGCACAATCCATGTCTTACCTGGACCGAAGCAACAGCCTCGTCGCTGGGCTTCCCGCCTTCACTCTTTTCCGCTAACATTTATCCCCCCAGCCAGCCTTCTCGCACCAAGATACAAGGTGATCATAGCTCTCTCCTGTTTCCAAGCCCTTGAGGACTCTCAGCCTGGGCTTCCGATGTCCTGAATTTCCCTCAACCTGTCTTTTTGACCCTGTGCCACTATTTTCTGGTCATTTGGGTCTACCATAGACACACCTCGCTTTCCTTCCTCCACGGCCTCTGCCCTTGCTGTGGGCACAGAACAACTTGGAGAAAACATGTCAAAATGATACCTATACACTGAGTTTCATTTATAAAGGTCTACCCTCATAAAGGACTTGTGTGAATCAGCGAAGGTTCTCGGGAAGTAAATTAAAAACCTAAAGCTACTAGCCCTTACATTAAAGAGAGATTCCACTGAAAACGCAAGAGATATGAAGAGCCTTTGTACAGACACCAGCCTAGACTTACTCACTGAAAAAGGCAGCTGTTATGCACCTTGAATAACAATGATGGGAACTGCTGTAGTCTTAGCTACGCTTAAAAAAGTGCATTTCACTCCTCCGACCCCATAATGAAAATTTGAAGGGTCTGCATTTTAGGTCTCTTGCAAAACACGGAAGTGTTTTTTCCTATTGTTCATCACAAAAATAACAAGGATGTACATTTTCTCACTTATTTTTTCCTTGTATTAGTGCCAGTTGCTCAGGAGGAAAAGCAAAAGCTACCATTGTTTCCTTGTGACAGAGGCTGTGTTCAGGTGCCCTGTTATTTTATCGGCAATGTAGAGTCACCTCTGTGTTCTGGCGTGCTGCTTTGGCGTCCCAGCAAAATGATAACATGAAGGAGACCCAGTCTTTAATCTTCTCCCTGTTGATAGGAATAAACTTTTCAGTTGGCGTGTGGCAACAATAGCACCTGTGCTCCTTTTGAACCAGAAAAAGGTTCTTTTATTAAGGTTGGAACAGGCAGTGGGAGCAGGTACCAGGGAAATAAAGATTTTTCCCGAAGTAGCTTCAATGACCCACTGGCTCCTCACCACCTCCACACTTGCACACTAGAATTAATCTTCCTGCCGCCTCTGCGAGGAAAGCTCAGAGAAATGGGAAGAACAGTCGAAAATAACAGTAGTGATCATAGGGTTGGGACCTTTTGGCTTTGACACTGATTTCTTTTGTGTTCATAAGCGAGCCCCTTAACCCGTCAGCACCATTTTTTTGTATAGCTACCCAGGTGTGCCTCCCTTTGGGGGATGCGTGTGTTTATGAAGCCTGTGTTTGAATGAATTTATATAAATCACAACTTTTCTACTGACTTTCATGACAATGTGAAAAAGAAGGCTGTTCGCCTTGGGCTTAATCTGCAGCAGATCAAGGCCCTTCATACTTCGGTGTGAGCGTTCTGTGCCTCCTCTGCCCAGCTTCCTCCCCTGGCCTTGGCCTCTCTGTCAAGCAGCCAATCATCTACAAAGGATCCGTTAGGCACCTCTGCTTGCACTGGGAGCCCCCCTTAAAAACCGAAGACTTCTTCAGGGATGAACATGGCCCCTCCCTAACATGTAGCTTGTACAGATGTTTGTGTATTGGGTTCTCTTATGTGAAAAGCAACTGGGGTGATGGGGATGGGGGTGTGGGTTGACTTGCGTCCCCTCAAAATTCATCTGTTGAAGCGTCGATCCCCAGGACCTCAGAATGTGACCTTATCTGGAAATTGGGTTGGGTTATTGTAGATGTCATTGGTGAAGATGAGGTTATACTGGCCTCCTAATTCGTTATGACAAGCGTCCTTATAAAAAGTTTGGATGCAGAGACACGCTCACAGGGAGAATGCTGTGTGAACGTTGTAGTTCTGCTGTTGCAAGCCAAGGAAATACCAGAGGCCAGGAGAAAGGCCTAGAACAGACCTTCCCTAGAGCCTTCAGAAGGAACGTGGCCCTGTGACACCCTGATTTCAGATGCCTGGCCTCCAGAACGGTGAGACAATATGTATCTGTTGTTCTAAGACATTCAGTTTGTGGTACTTTGTTATAGAAGCCCTAGGGAATGAATACGGTCACTTTCTGAGATGTTTCAACAAATAATGAACACTACCCAATAATGAACACTAATGATGGTGTTGCAGGGGGTGGCCATGGATTTCTGTTCAAAGTCTGTTTATTGGTTATTGGTTTGAGATATTTTGTCTGCTTGTCCACTTTTTATTGCGCACACAGGAAACACTGTGTTATCTTGCTACTTACCTGTCATGGCCAATGAGGAAATATTCCCTGTTAGTGGTTCTGATGGACATCACCTCATCAGGGTGGCATTTGAACATCTTACATACAGATTGCATTTTTTCATGGCTACTTATGCCAACTTCTACACTGGAGTTTCTGTTAGATATAGACACAAAGTATTACACAGATTCAAGCACAATGACTACTGTTTTATATTAAGATGCAAACTGAATAAAATTTAGGTCTGCTTGATCAATGTCTTGGAAATTGTCCAATAATGTTACAAAATAAGTTTAGATCTGGCTCATTACTGATTGCAAATACTTGGTTCAGCCTCACATTTAATTCAAAAATTCTTATTTCTGTTGAATTCTTTGTTCTACAAACGATCATGTTTCCTAATTTTCATTTTGTACCGAATTTCTTAAAGAGAAGGCCAAAAAAAAAAAAAAGCAAATCTCAATACTTTTTTAAAAATCCATCTTGGGTTTATGAAATGATGATTTGATCTGCTCTCCCTCATCCGTAAGTTAAGCAAATCAAAGTCTTTTGTAACTAAATTCTTATTAATGAATAATTTATGAACTGGTATATACAACGTGAAATAAGTATGTGGCTGTGTTTTACTCAGGATGTTCTTCATTTCAGCTTCTTTTCAGCAACCAATATTGTAAGCATGAAGGCTTTGGTTCTTTCAGTCAATGATTTAAGTTTCAATTTGCATGCCCTGTGTTAGTATTCGTTGTTATACACGTTTTCCGGACTGGATGCGCACCGGTCAATTTCAATGGAACCTCGGCGATGTTCGTCTTTGTAATAGGAGACGTGAAGTCTCCTTCCCCCGCTCTTTGACAGAATGAAAAACCGCTTTTTCCAAGAAGACTGAAAAATGAAAACATTTTGCATCTTAGTTGGATCTCCAAGGAAGAGAAGGGATTTGAAAAATGCTCAGGAAGCTAGTGGGAGGCCTGTTAGATCATGGTGCATACTTACAGCAGAGAAGAAAAGCTGAGGAGGTGGTGATTTAATAAAGTAATCTTGTTTGCAGACTTCATTTTCATAATAAAATGTAAATTGTTTGCCTAATAAAAGAAAGTGAACAGACTCAGTTTGTTCCCTGTAGACTTTGGGAAAGAACTGCTTCAACTGGGAAACGCTATTTCCCTCTGGAAAGGTCTTCCAATTATTCAGTTATGGAAAAGAACTTCGATCCTAGAGCAGGAAAACAAAGAGCCCAAAGGACCGAGGGCATTATTCTTATTCGACCAGAGCCAGGACTTCCCTTCAGATGACGTTTAGAAGCTCCTTAATGTCGGGTCCTCATTTCTGGGGTGCACCTCTGGCTCTCCAGATGTGAGCAAAGGTTTTTCTCTATTCTTGTCAGAGCACCAGCCACAGGAGCAGAATAATTCTGCCTTGCTCCTTGGCTTAGTAAACAGAAGCAAAAACACCTGCTCTTTTTTTTTTTTTTTAATTTTTTTTTAACGTTTATTTATTTTTGAGACAGAGAGAGACAGAGCATGAACGGGGGAGGGGCAGAGAGAGAGGGAGACACAGAATACGAAGCAGGCTCCGGGCTCTGAGCCATCAGCCCAGAGCCCGATGCGGGGCTCGAACTCACGGACCGCGAGATCGTGACCTGGCTGAAGTAGGACGCTTAACCGACTGAGCCACCCAGGCGCCCCAAAAACACCTGCTCTTGAAAATGAGGTGGCAGGGTGGTTACATCAAAAGGTTTCCAAAATGTTAACTGCTTCTCTGTAAGGATTGAAATGTAGATGGGTTTTTTTTCCCCTGTATTTTCAAAAATGTCTTCAAGATATATGTACTACTTTCATTATTTAGAAAAATGTCATGTTATTAAAGTTTTTTTTGCTTTCACCTCCAGGCTGTAGTTCTAGTTTGCCCATGGTTTTATAAAAGACCGTCTTTACTAAAGAGTTAGAGCTTTTTAATTAAGTGAAAACAGAATCAGGATTAGGTAGCACAACTGATGGGGACATTATGCTAGAATTTAGTATTTCTTTTTTTTTTTTTTAACATTTTCTTTTAAAAGTTTATTTATTTAATGGGGCGCCCGGGTGGCTCAGTCGGTTAAGCGTCTGACTCTTGGTTTCAGTTCAGGTCATGATCTCACAGCTTCGTGCGTTTGAGCCCATGATCTCACAGCTTCGTGGGGTCAAGCCCTGCGTCAGGCTCTACACTGACAGTGTGGAGCCTGCTTGGGACTCTCTCTCTCTGCCCCTCCGTGATTTGCACTGTCTCTGTCTCTCTCAAAATAAATAAACTTAAAAGAAAAGGCTTATTTATTTAAGTAATCTCTACACCCAACGTAGGACTCAAACCCATGACCCCAGGATTAAGAGTCAGATGCTGTTCCAACTGTGCCAAAATTACTACATGAATGTAGTAATTCCTAGGCAGCTGTCCTCACTTTGCTTCCTTCCCCTCCTCTGTAGCAACTCTGCCTGCTCCCCACCCCACCCTCCATCCCTTTACATGCACACATACACACACGGAAAAGGAAAAGAAAAACAGAATGCAGCAATATTGCAAAAACAAGTTTTGGCTGGCTCCTTTTTAAAATTGTATGGCCATGGACAAAAATCACATATTTATTTACTAAACAAGTATTGATAGAGCACCTAGAATCCCTAACTTTCCCTGCTTCCTTATCTGTAAAATGGAGACAATAGTACTGACCTCACAGATATGTGGGGAGGACTGAAGGAGTTAATGCATGGAAACCTCTCAGTACTGGGCCTGGCACACAGTAGGGCTGTTATCAACAACAGAGGAAACTTTAGCCTTTATGGTTTGCAGAATAAACCAGTCTCTCATCTGCCTCTAATACAGGTGCTCTTTGGTTGTATTAAATTTAAAAGGTTCAACAGATACAGTATTTTATAAAAATTTGGGCCTAGGAGTCCCTAATAACATCGTATACAATTATAAGAACCTTAAAGTAAAGTAAGTATCTATCAGTACGTAGCCCAGTTTGTCACTCCCAGGGTGTCTGTCCCCAGTATTCACATCGACTACCAGGACACAAAAACTCTTGACGGTGTTCATTGACCTTGGCAACGGTGCTGTTTTCTCCAGAACTGAAGCTGAGGAAAATAACCCAGTAAACAATGTGGCTATCTTAATCTGAGTTTACGAAGCCATCAGTACTGAAGCCATCAGTATTCAGCCAATTTACTGGTTAAGGTATGTGAAGTCCAGAAATATTATGCGTCTGCCTCACTGCCCCATTCAAGCAAACTCAGAGGGTATGGTGACAGAAAAACTCTGGCCATGGTGACATTAATTGTTAATAAGGGTACTGGGGTTTTTGTCCATAGTAGGATTCTGGGCTTAAAAGTGAGCTACTAGAGACACTTAATGATGAGGTCTTTTCATGCCACCTGGCTTCTGCTTGTATTCCCTGCCTTCATGGAGCTTCCTATCACGTGTGGAAGGTGGGTGATAAACAAGAAACGAAAACAAGCAAGGTAAGTGCCTGTTGGGATACGTGCATTGGAGAGCATGACCAGGGTGATGAGACAGAATAGCCAGGCAGGGAGGCCCCTTGAGGAAGAGGAGTCAGGGGAAACCTTTATGAGGATGAGAAGGAACCAAGCGTGCAAAGAGCTGGGTAGGCAGAGGAAGTAGCATAGTCAAAGGCCCAGGGACAGGAAAGGGGAGAGATGTTCCAGGAAGTGAACAGGAGCACTGAGTGGCTGGAATATAATGAGCCAGTGAGGACTCTAAGAGTGGTCTAAGACGAGGCTAGAGACAAGTTCAGTTGGGCCTGGAAGGCCATAGGCCAATATAGTGGGTTTGATTTTAAAACCAATGGACAGGACCACCCACTAATTAGCTTTGCCAAACAACAACAACAACAACAACAACAACAACAACAACAAAAACCAGTGGGACAATCTCACCCATCCTCTAGGTCCAGTTTGTAGGAAATACAGAAAACAGAAATATGGTAGACACCATGCCAGAGATGTCTTCAGCAAAATCTAGTCTGTGGGAAACTGATGGGACAAATTTTCAGTATTTTTACCCCTGTATATGCAATTTTTGCCCCTAAACATCTTCCCCTGGATTTCCCATAAACTTCTTTCTCACATCACTCTATCCCCAGGTGCCTTTTATGAAGTGGTGTTACCAACACCTGTCCAGCCTCCCCACCTAGAACCCTCTGAATCCCCTTAACCGTCACCCTTCCATCAGTCTTATGGCCACTCAATGATTAAATCATGCTCACTTTCACTTCCCAAACACCTCTGGGATCTATCCCGATCGTTCTGTTCCCACCACTGCTGCCTTCAAGACCTTCATATGTTTCAATGTATTCATATGCCTTCAAGACCTTCATAGGTTTTTCACTGTACATTGTAGTGTCCAGTTTGGTGCCCTAATTCCAGTCTTGACGTTTTCAAATCCATTCTTGACATATCCCTGAGAGTAAACACCAAATCTGACTGATTCAGTACTTGGGGCAAGGATGGAATAACAGGGACTGGGTTTACCAGACAAAATATATACAATAGTGGTTTTCAAGACCCTTGGCATGGGCAATAAAATCACTCATCCCTATGAGATGGGAAACAAACAAGGTGGGCCCTACCACTCCCTTGAGAGAGTTTCCAGGCTATAGCACAGGAAAGGGGAACTGAGGTGGAATTGGGTGAATTCCTGAGTTGAGGAGACAGAGCTAAGGCTTCAGGGGAAATTAAGGCACTAGAGTTCACAGGGACAGAGTGCCAAAGAGGAAAGAGGTGCACATGGAAAGAATCACAGAAACATGCATAAGGTTCTTAAGAATTCAAGAGTATGGAATAATTATCTTTGGGCTGAGGACTGTTCCAGATCCACCTGACAAATCGTAAAAGCTAGCCTTTAAAAAAAAAAAAAAAGTTTATTTATTTATTTTTGAGAGAGAGAGGGAGGGAGAGAGAGTGTGCATGCACGAGAAGGGGAGGGGCAGAGAGAGAGAGAGGGAGACAGAGAATCCCAAGCAGGCTTCAAGCTGCCAGCGCAGAACTGGACATGGGGCTCGGACTCATGAACCGTGAGATTATGACCTGAGCCGAAATTAAGAGTCAGATGCTTAACCGACTGAGCCACCCAGGTGCCCTAAAAGCAGGTCTTAAAAGGATCAAATTGTTTCCAAAAAACTTAACTGCATCCCAGAATAAAGCTCAAGATTTGTAGAAATACAAAAATAGGCAGCACCCAGCAAGGTAAAAATTTCGATGTCTGGCAACCAGTTGAAGACTACCAAATACGCAAAGAGGCAGGAAACCGTGACCCATAATTAGGAACATTATTGAAATGGGCCTAGAACTGACACAGATGTTCGAATTAGCAGAGACAGTTGTAAAAACAGTTATTATTACTGTATTTAATCTATTCCAGGAGTTAGGTAGAGACACAGATGATATAAAAAAGATCTAAAGTGAACTTCAAAAGATGAAAACCATAATGTCTCAGAAACAAACACACACACACACTGAATAGGAGTAACAGCAGATTAGTGCACATGAAGACAAAGTAAGAGAAACTATCAACACAGATGCAGAGAGAAAAAAGAATAAAAAAAAATGTTAAAAGAGCACCAATGCACAGTGGGACAATTTCTTTATCTTTTTAACTTTATTTCTTTTGAGAGAGAGAGATTGCACTCTTATGAGTGAGCGGGGGAGGGGCAGAGGGAGAGAGGAAGAGAGAGAGGGGGAGAGAGAGAGAGAAAATCCCAAGCAGGTTCCATGCTGTCAATGCACAACCTGATGCGGGGCTCGATCCCACCATCTGTGAGATCACGACCTGAACCGAAATCAAGAGTCAAATGCTTAACCCACTGGGCCACGCAGGTGCCTCACTGTGGGACAATTTCAAGTGACCTGCTATACAAGTAATGAAATCCCTAAGTGGTTAGGGATACAGAAAACGTATTTAAAGACAGAATGCTGAAAAGTGTGTAAATTTAAAGAAAACTATAAACCCAGAGATCCAAGCAGGTCAGGAACCCTAAACACAAGGTACATGAAAAAAACTCTACTAAGGCATGTTGTGATCAAATTGTTCAAGACTAGTGATAAAGAAAATAACCTTAAAATCAGCCAGAAGGAAGGAAAATATGTATGCAGAAGGAAAAAAAAAAAAAAAAAACATGCGAAAGACATTAGATTTCTCATCAGAAATAATGTGAGCAAAAAAACAGTGGAGCAAATATTTAAAGTACTGAAAGAAAAACACTGTCATTCTAGAATTCTATATGCAGCAAAAATATCTTTGACAAATAAAGGCAATCTCAGGGCACCTGGGTGGCTCCGTCAATTGAGTGTCCTACTTCAGCTCAGGTCATGATCTCACGTTCGTGGGTTTGAGTCCCGCATTGGGCTCTGTGCTGACAGCTCAGAGCCTGGAGCCTGCTTCAGATTCTGTGTCTCCCTCTCTCTCTGCTCCTCCCCTGCTCACGCTGTCTTTCTTTGTCTCTCAAAAAATAAAATAAAATGTTTAAAAAAAAAAAGGCAATTTCAAGACATTTTTCAGATAATACAAAAGCTAAAGAGATCCATAAACAGGAGGCCTATACTATAAGAAAGCTTAAAGGAAGCCCTCTGGGTGGAAAGAAATGATACCAGATGCAAATCTGAATTTATATGAATGAATGAACAACACTGAATGGTAACTGCAAAGGTAAATATACGAATTTTGTTTTTGTATTAATTAAAACATTTAAAAATTCAACCGACTGTTCAAACAAAATACTAACAACATACTGTGAAGATTATAACATACGTGTAAGTAAAATGCAATTTCATTAAGTAAAAGGCATTAAGCCCAGGAGGGGAAAATGGAAGTATACTTTTATAAAATTCTTATATTATATGTGGTTTGGTGTAATATCATTTGTAGTAAGATAGACTGTGATACGTTAAAGATGTATACTATATGCCCTAGTGTGACCACTAAAATAACAAAACAGTTACAATTAATAAGCCAAGAAAGGAGATAAATAGTATCATAAAAATACTCAATTCAAAAAACAATGAAAAAGAGGGAAAAGGTGAACAAAGAAAAAATGAGACAAATAGAAAACAATGCTATGATAGACTCAAACCCAATCACATCAATATTCACATTAAGTGTAAATGGTCTAAAAAATTCAATTAAAAGGGTGAGACTGTCAGATTGGATAAGAAAGCAAGACCCAACTGCATGGTACTCGCAAGAAACACATTTTAAATATAAAGACACATGGGGTGCCTGGGTGGCTCAGTTGGTTAAATGTCTGAATCTTGATTTCGGCTCAGGTCAAGATCTCATGCTTCATGGGAGTGGACTCGAGCCCCACATCTGAGCTGTGTGCTGACAGAACAGACACTACTTGGGATTCTCTCTATCTCTCTCTCTGTGCCCCTCCCTGCTTGTGCGCTTTCTCTCTCTCTCTCTCAAAATAAATAAATAAACATTAAAAAAACGAACACAAAGACACAAATAGGTTATAAGTAAAAGGTCAGGAAAAGGATATACCATGCCAACAGCAGTCAAAACAAAGCTGGACTGGCTATAGTAAGATCAGATTGCATAGCAAAATAGTATTACCAGGGATAAATGTCTTTTTATAATGATAAAGGGGTCAATTAACCAAAAGGACATAATAATCCTACACAATTATGTACCTAATAACAGACTTTCAACATACTTGAGGCAAAAACTGCTAGAACTGCACAGAGAAATAGAGAAATCCACAATTATAGTCAGAGATTTCAGTACCCCTCTCTCCATAACTGATAGAAAAAATAAGCAGAAAATCATAAAGATTTAGTGGACTTGAACAACACTATCAATAACAAACTTGACCTGATTGATATTTATAGAACACTCAACAACAGCACAATGCACACCTTTCTCAAGGGCACATGCAACATTTTCCAAGACAGATCATGTTCTGGGCCATAAAACCAGTCTCAATAAATCTGAAAGGATCCAAGGTTTACAAAGCATATGTTCAGAACATAATGGAATCAAACTGAAAATCAATAACAGAAAACTTTTGGGAGTGATGAAGATTATCTTGATTGTCGTAATGGTTTCCACGGCATATACACATATAAAAACTTAACAAATTGTACATTTTAAATATGTGCAATTTATTGTATGTCATTTTTACTGGAAACAGCTATTTCAGGGGTGTCTGAATGGCTCTGTCAATTAAGCATCCGACTCCTGATTTTGGCTTAAGTCATGATCTCATGGTTCGTGAGGTCGAGCCCCAAGTTGGGCTCTGTACTGGCAGTGTGAAGCCTGCTTGGGATCATCTCTCTCCCTCTCCCTCTCCCTCTGCCCCTCCCCACCCTCCTCTCTCTCTCTCTCAAAATAAATAAACAAACAAACAAGTAAATAATAAACATTAAAAGAAAAAGGCTATTTCAAAAAATAGGACCAGTCTAAAATGCAAATCTAATGATGCCATTCTCTTGTTCAAGGATTGGTGGTCTAATGAGGTCAAGGTCTGGTACAATATAGTGCCATATTTCCACAGTCTCATCCTTTACTCTCCACTGTCCTACTTTATATCCACATTGCCCTCTGATACATCCTGCCTCTAATCCACTCATTGCTTTGTTCATGCCATCCCTCTCTGCCGAGATGTGCTCTTTACCAATCTCTCTTAAAACCCTATACAACTTTTAGGGTCCAAATGCCTTCTCATAAAACCTCTCCAGATTCCCAAAACTACTTGTATGCCCTTTCTTTTTCAGATTCCCATAATGTTTCACACTCACTTTCATGACTCCTATCATATCCCGATTGTTTGTGCTTATCTTAGCTTCTCAGCACACTTACTCACATGTGTTTATCTTAACTTCCCAACAACATTTATAAACTCATTGAGAGCAATGACTCTATTACTTACTCTGTATATCCTCTATAATATGAAGCACAGTGACTTACTAATGATAGGTGCTTTGATCATTTGATTTCTAAATTATTTCCTCCTAAATCAGCTTTTCTAACTACCCACCTGCAATGAACTGTGTAAACATGAACAAGGACCTTTGAATAATTCACCTCAAGCTACCCCTATAATAACAATTTAGGCAGTTTCTCCAAGGGAGAATTTCCTATTAAATTATGAAATATTCTTCGGTCTCTTCTGGGCTATAGTTTGTTTCAGCACCATCTCCAAGCAACAGATGGAACATCTGGTTAATGAAAAGTCAAAAAATGTCAAATTTCTAGATAGGTGAGTGCTTACACAATAATTAGCTGAACACAGCAGCTTCTGCTACACTGTCCATACCATGAATCATTGTCCCAGAATGCCACCCATTATCCTCACTAAAACTATCTCCTGTATCCTGGGTAGCTTGATGAGAATTGTTTGTCATTTTCAATAAAGTTTTTCCTTAAGAGAGTATATTCCTTGGGTACCTGGACTCTTCTGAGGTTTGGGTTCCATTATGGCTGTCTGTTCTCCTCTGTCAAAAGGAAGAGTTAAATAAATGTCGGTTAGTCCTCAAACAACAGCGTGCTTCCCTGATTAACCACTCAAACATCCAGTGTCAGGATGGTGCCCAGGAATGCTGCTGAGATAGGTTATCAGCCCCCCACTTTCCATTCTGTTCCCAAGGCTGACACTAGCCACAGTTACAAGGATATATTCAAGCTGCTTGTGCTCACCAAGTGGACAGGTCTGTGGAGGGGTTGCTAGCATGACTGAAGGGACCACGTTCCCTGGGCCTTCTCTGCTCCTGCTCCATAAGTGACTCTGACCACAAAGTCCATGGGGGAAGGAGCACGGAGGAGAAGAGACAAGAACAGGGCAGAGGGCAGGATGCTATGGACCAAATGCAGCTGAGAAAGCATTTCTAGCCAAGAGGAAGCATAAGATAAGTGCTTCTCCATGCCAGGAACTTGCTTTCTCCAGGGGAAAACCGAAGAGCAGGGACCCTGTTCTTCAACTGCCACAGGTGTCTGCCTGACTCTGGGGACTGAGGTCCACGTGGTGAAACTGACTCTGAGAGGTGGAGCCCTGTCCTGGGCAGCTATGCTGGTGATCCCTTGACCAACGTGGGGCCGTGAGAGAAGGGGGATCCTACAGGGTAAAGGGCCTCAGGGCAGGTGAGATCTTCGAAACTAGGAATGTGTCGGTGATCAATTCTTACCTTGAATTAGTAAGACTTTCAAAACAGAAGAAAGCATTGAGTACTTCAGTGCCCGGGCAGTGCCGGTAAAATGGGAGGGAGGCAAAGGGCCCTTGATACATACTTTGCGTATTATATATAATAACATATAACACTCAAATATGTGTTAACTGACTTTTTATGTTATCAGTAAGGCTTTTGGTTAATAGTAGGCTATTTGTGGTTAAGTTTTGGGGAGTCAAAAGTTATATGTGGATTTTTAACTGCATGGGGGGTCATCACCTCTAACCCCCATGTTGTTCAAGATTCAAGTGTGTATGTCTATAAATACTGGATTTCATACATAATATATTTCATATTATATATATTAAAACCAGTATATGTATACATATGTGAAATCCATTATATATATGAAACCTATTATATAAATTTTGCTCACGTAAGCAAAATAAGCCTAAGCTTATGTTATATAAACAAAATTATACACTAAATATGAAATCTCATTCAATTTCATACGTGTTTTATATATAAAACATATAGATTTCACATATATTTTTATACATAATACTATAAAGCTTATACTAGTTTTATAATGGTACAATACCCATTTTACAGATAGAGAAACTGTTAGAGATAGACTAAGATAGAGACTACAGATAGAGAGACTAAGCAATTTGCCTTTGATCTCATAATTAAAAAGAAACAGACCCAGAATTCTAACTTGAGAGTTGCCGTCTGAACCACTTTGCTTCTCTTTCTATTTAAAAAAGGAGAATTGGGGCATCTGGGTGGCTCAGTTGGCTGAGCGTCCAACTCTTGATTTCAGCTCAGGCCATGATCCCAGGGTGGTGAGATCAAGCTCTGTGTCGGGCACGGAGCCTGCTTGAGAGTCTCTCTCTCTCCCTCTGCCCCTTCCCCCTGCTTGTGCACCCTCTCTCTCTCTCTCTGTCTCTCTCAAGTAAAATAAAATAAAATAAAATAAAAATTAAACCTTTTTGTAGTTCTGCTTGCATTTCTTGTCATTACCCCAGAACAAAAAAGCCTCTCAGATTTATCTCTTTGATCCCATTCAAGAGAATCTACACCCACTATCCTTGTCTATAACCTGTTCATTTTAATGTCACTTGAGATTTGATGAGTGTGATATCAAGAGGTCCTATTTCCTTCTGACTATACAATCCAAGAAAGTTATGAACCAAGAGCCCATAACAGCAGTTTTGCTCAGTTAATATTTCAGATTACCAGAAGCCTTGAGAACCTAAAACATTCAAACCAAGCAGTACTTACAGGCAGCCAGCCGGTCGCTGGTCAGTTCTCAGCAAAGTACCCTGTCCCTGGGTCTCCTGTTCACTCTGAGCTCTGAGTGGCAAGGTGAAAATTAAATACAAGCTGCTTGAAATGTGAACCAACAGGAAGTTCCTAAACTATCTTAGGACAGATTTTACTCTTGCCCGCAGTTAAAATGGAAGCTATTGTCCGAGGGGAAGTCCTGGGCTTTCAGGCTTTTTGTGGCTTGGCACAGAACTGCCCTTGGCATTCCAGCTGTCTAGCATCAAAAAATAAAAGCAAACAAAGAAAAAAAATTCCCACTAGCCGTTGTCTTTAGTCACAATGATTCTTATTGAGAACAGCCTCAGCCTTGCCTTGACCTCCTGCAGTCATTACTACTGAAATAATCCTTTTGCTTCCCACCAATCCATTTCCTCCCAACGCCCTCCTGGGGAAAGTAGGAAGGATTCCTTTGTGCCAGATGAGAAACGAAAGCCTGCCTTCTCCAGCACAGTTGCACACACCAACAATCTCCAGGATGATCTGCTTCTTCATCTATGAGAGAGTTGTCATCAACAGGGTGGAACTAGACAGGCTGTCTTGTACAGCCCCCCAATGAGTCTTAAAAATAAGAGTTTTACTCACAAGAGGGAATGGCAGTCAAGCCTTGTTGAAATCTTCTCTTCCTTTTGCTTCCAAATTACTCTTCCCATTTGGTTCCCTTCTGCCCTCATCTATTAGCTTTGTCTCTTTGTTTGTTTCTCTACCTGCACGCAGTCCATTCATTTCAGAATTCCCAGAGCACCTTCCATGGATATTTCCCCACTCTACAAGTATTTCTTGATGCTGGGAGAGTTGAGAGCCTCTTGAGATGGGTGATCTTGAATTTGCCAAGAGACCTGCCTGACGGATGTATGGTTTTCTCTAGTAATAGCATTTGGCTATTCAGGAGAAGAATGGGGGAGTTGGGGAGTAAGCTTTGTTTCAAGTTAATGCTTTTTTTTTTTTTTTTTTTTTTTTTTATGCCAGGGAGACATCACAGATAGATGAAGGAGCAAAGGAGCAAAGGAAGTTAAGATATTTGTGAAAGACTGCCCCAAATGATGAACCATGGTATCAGAGGGACATATGGAGGAAAGAGACTAGAAGGGGACTCCTAGGGAGGAAGCACTGATGAACTTGAAGAAAGATGGAACCAGTTGGCTGGAAAGGTAGAAGGTGCTGCTTGGAGACAGAATGATTGACTGATTATCTTAAAAATAGAGCAGTTGCAGGGAGTGGGTGGCTTTGTGATAGTGTAGACAAAAGATCATTGGTAATGAGGAAGGCAAGGAACTGAGAGGCAAGGGTGTTTGGTCATCCCCATGGACATTCAGTTTATCCTTTTGGAAACTCTCTAAAGATTTTTGAAATATGAGAAACAGAATAAACGTAATCATCTCCACTCATCTCTCCCAACATATATACACAACAGTGTCGATTTTTATACTTGGATTCATTTGTAAAAGCAATAGCAGACACAGATGTCAAAGGAGGACCCTGGAATCCATAGAAGGTTGTAGCCAGAATCCTCTTTATTTCAAAAGAATATTTAGGTCCAGTTTCTGGGGACTAGGGGATCTACAATAGGTGATAGAGAATGGCCCAAAGATTGTAGGTGAAGGAGACAGCTAATAAGACCACCACTAGGGCCAGAGGAGGGAAGATGGGGGTTTCTTTTTCCTTCCTTTCCTTTCCCCTTATTGCCCTGAATCCTTATACTACCCACCTGGTTGGCACTGGAGCAATAGGATCAGGGTTGGTAGGGAAAGAGTGGCAATGTAGTTCATAATAGGAAGAGAGAGAGACAAGCAAAGTAGGAAGGAGACCCCCAAAGGTGGGCACACCCCATAGAGCTTCTTTCCCAAAGCCCATCTCAGCATAGGGTGTGATGCAAATCCCAGCACCCAGTGTTTCCTAGATCCCCCCGCTGGTCAGCAATGGGGCTTCCCTGCTTCTCAGTTTATTGGTACTTCAATTTCATTTCTTAAAAAAGTTTCTTTCTATGTGTACTCATTTTCGAGAGAGAGAGAGAGAGGGAGAGTGAGAGCAGGGGAGGGGCAGAGAGAGAAGGAGACACAGAATCTGAAGCAGGTTCCAGGCTCTGAGCGGGGCTCAAACTCATGAACCATAACACCATGACCTGAGCCAAAGCTGGACACTTAACCAACTGAGCCACCCAGGTGCCCCTGTACTTCAATTTCGATTGTAATAGAAGTAACTCTCTTTAATTTCTGGGCCTGGAGAGGAAAAAGCATGATCCATATGGATTTTGAATACATCATGAATTTGAAAAATCAGGCAAAAACTCCTAACATCAGAATTTAGCATTATTTCATCCTTCTGCCTTTTGTCCTGGGAGGTAGGTGTGTGTGTGTGTGTGTGTGTGTGTGTGTGTGTGTGTTTAAATGCTTTTATTGCTTTCACTTCCTGTTTAAGCTGAAAGCAGTTAATAAGAAAGAATGCTTTGTTTCAGCATTTATTGGTACCAGTTGGATAGCAAGCACTCCTGGGGATAAAATAATTAAAAACAGACTTTGTTCTTAGTGACCTTATAAGCTAATATGGGAGATAAGTGACATAAGGAAGCAAGCAGAGTGCTAGTCAGTCCTATCAGGAAAGAGCACACTCCAAGGATTTATGGAAGAGAGTTATTGAAGGGATGGTCTACAGAGGTGTTGGCTGCATTAAGAGACCCAGCAAGGCATGATGAAGCATTCATTGTCTAGCAATAGTGGGAAACCTTTACCACCTCCAGGTCTGCGGGGATAAGAAGAGAGGGGGCAGTGTTTCCAGATTCTGATAAGAGTAGTAGCTGTGGGTGAGGTGCCATGACATGGGAGCAGTGGTTGTAGGAAGGGGAAGGGGAACGTGGCCACTGTCAAAACCACGGCCCTCGTGGAGAGAGCAGAGGTGGGTGGGGGTGGGGTAGGATGGGGGAGATGCCAGCAAAAGAGAGTAGAAAAGAACAGAGAAGTACATGACAACACAAAACCATGTGGTATCTGGGAGTGGAAGCAAACGCTTTGAGCGGAGAGAGGGGTCCCCTACGTCACTTGCTGCCAAGAGGGTGAGCAAGGGGAGAACTGAGAACTGGTCACTGGATTTGGCAAGATGGAGGGCACGATCTTGGCAAGCGCTATTTTCGTGCCACGGTGCAGAATAGAAAATCTGATGGGAGTGGGTTACAAAAGAGAAATGGCCCATCTTCTGGGGTGAACAGAGCAGAAAAGAGTGGGAAATAGTGGAGAGTCAAGTGGAGATGATCCAGGAGGAATCCAAAATGATGAATATGAAGTGGTGAATGGTGTCAGAGCAACACAGATCAAGAGTCATGGGAATTCAGAGAAAGGAGCTATTCTTCCAAAGATGGAAGATGATGAGACCAAAAGGGAGATCTTGTGGGGAAGGTGGCACCTCATCTGGGCCTTGAAGCCTTCCTACCCTCCCACTTCCTCCTAATTATCCCTGGGGTGCACATGATTCTTAGATAGCAGACACTCTCTGGATCCCAGCCTTGGCCTCAGCCACTGGTTCAGAGGCAGAAGTAACCTGCTTCATGAGTGGGATGCTGGGTCAAAGGCTCCCTTTCTTTCTCTGGATAGTGCAATGTGTGGATGGAAGAGCATTTTGCTTCCTTGAGGGATGCGAACCAAAAAAAAAATAAATAAATAAAAAGACAGGATAAGGAAAGGGCAGAGCTGAAAGGATTCCAGAGATGCAGAGCTTCTGTCTTGATGACTGGCAAACTTAGGGTCAAACCATGCTTGAATTCCATCCTTCCTCTGGACTCACTGATTAGGAGGAACTGATATTCCCTTGACTATCTAAGTCAATTTACATTAAATTGTCTTGTGCAAATGGAAATCATTTTGACTCAGAGATGTTATGATTTGAACACTAGGAACTGGCCCAGGGATAGATGTGAGAGGTAATTTGGAAGGAGAAAATGATAAAAAAGAAGGCAACTCAGCATAGTACGGTATTTTTGACATAGTTTTTTTGTGTTCTTTTTAAGATGTTTATGTATTTATTTTGAGGGGGGGGGAATAGAGAGTGAGCAGGGGAGGGGCAGAAGAGAGGGGGAGGGAATCCCAAGCAGGCTCTGCACTGTCAGCATGGAGCCTGACATGGGGCCTGAAATAGTGACCTGAGACAAAACCAAGAGTCGAATGCTTAATGAACTGAGCCCCTCGAGTGCCCCAGCACTGCACAGCATTTTTGAGCACGGAGTCAGACTTCCCGGGTTCATTGCTATGCTCTGTGATCTTGGAGAAGTCATGTAACCTCTCTATGCCTCAGTCTCCTCGTCTCTAAAGTGAGAATGATAATAGTACTTACTTGATAGAGTGGTTATAGGAATTAAATGAGCAGATGTTTGTAAAGAATTTACAATAGTGCTCAGAAGGTAGTAAGTTCTTTACAAATCTTTGTCAAATAAATTAATGGCATTGTGTCTGCAATTTGCAACTGAGATTATGCATAATCCCCACCTCTAATGAGAGGGGCTGGGCTCCCTGATTTTGAAGACTCTCCCAAAGCACTCTACATAGTGACAGTGTCACTGCAGGCCATTCTTTCTATGTTTCATATGAATAAGTAGAGGCCCCAGGAGGCTTAGAAATCATCTAAGAGAGAACTTAGTAATAAACATCATGATAGAGCCAAACCCCACCAGATCCAGAATTAGGACACCACATTTATCCTTCTGGTCTGCTTCCATTCATTAGCCCTTAGAGTTGTCCTCTTTCTCTTTCTGGGGTAACAAGATGACCCTCAGGTACTCAACAGCCCTAATAGTCTGTGGGTCTCGTAATACCCCCTTAAATGATTCTGTAGTTTACCATTTACAAAGCATTTGCAGTGTCTCCTTCTGGACACACAAAAACCTTTTGAGGGACACAAGGCAGATATTATATTATTTTTCCTGTTTCACAACCAAGAAGGGAAGCGGTTGGTAAAAGGCTTGATATCAGGTAAGTTACCACTAAGGGTCACTGGAGCTGAAGCCCACTGAGAAACTCAGGGAACCAGCATACCCCCTACCTGTTATCTCATCCAGGGGGAGGGAATTGGGGTATTTATACACCGACTCCTGTCAATCACCGGGGGGACATTAATTTCGGGCACTTCTGGCCTGTCGTACATGTAGCAAAGTGGGCTCAGGAGACCAGAGGGACTCCTCAAGCAAAGGCCTGTGGCTGTTGGCACTTGAGAGCAGGCCAATGCCCTGAAGTGATGAAAATGAGG